CAGAAGAGGCTGGAGAGGAGGAATGGATTGGTGACATAAATATCTCAGGGACAACTGACCAGATTTGACAACTAGTTTGATATGGAAAATTAGAAATAGGGCAGCATCCACTGGCTGAGCCATTCATATTGACTTTGTAGAGGTAAGGGTGGGAGGGGGTGTGCTTTTGGTGGTTGTGTGCAGCACTCTTTGAACCAGTTCGTGTCCAGTTCTCATTAAGGATGAGGCACTTAAGTGTTATCTGGTTCAAGACAAATGTCTATAAAAATAAAGGTGACACTTTCTTTGAATGGCACGCCCAGTATATTATTACGTGTTCAAATTTTCCAACTACATTGTAGTGGTTGGGTAATGTTTGTGCTGATATGAAAACAAACTTCCCAGTTCATTGCTTTTTATTTGCAGGAAACAATTTATTTTTGAGCTATATCAATGTTCCTTAATAGAAAAAATTTCCATACCCCTTATTCTCAAGTTAGGTTCTAAAAAGAGGAAAACATATAACTATTATGTGGGATGAAAATTTAGGAAAAAGCTTAGTCTCTCTGGTCCCTCCTCCCAATTTGAGAGACACTTATTTAATAGTTTATTTTATTTAAAGACTAAGGCTTCTAATTTAAAAATATGTGTATCTTATCATACAATAGCTCAGTATGCTAGTCAACAAAAATTACTTTTTTCATAATGGACCCTTCAAGAGGTCACAGATTTCTCCTTTACCAGAAAATTGAGAAAAGTCATAAATCATATTTGTTCTTTATAAATATTTAAGCCAAACCTGTCTGTCGGGTCCTTTAACATCCTACCCAGGTCAAGAGTGGCTCCAGGTCGTGGGGTCCAAGTTATCACATCAGAGTTTTTCTTGATAAGATTGTTGAGTTCAATAGGGTCATTTTTGATGTTTGTTTCCTTAATATACCTGAGAAACAAGAACATTCCCATGTAAGAACATTTGTTCTCAAATACACACTTGGGTTAATAGGACAGATTTGTTTACCCCTGCATTTGCAATTTCCTCCACTTACCCACACAAAATAAAGAATATATTTAGGATAATAACTCTTAGGGAAGAGTTATCAGTCAAAGAGGTTGTGTTTATAGCTTGTTCTTAAGTAGAATCACATAGTGGTTGGAGAACAGACACGTATCATGCGTATCATTCTGTATTGTAATTTTTTTTCTTCTCCCCCACAAAGATCCCAAATTCAAAATCAATCATTTCAACTCTTGTTCTCTAGTATCTAGCACTGTACTGCTTATTAAATGATAAATGGATTAATAATAAACAGCATTAACCAAAAGAAATTTTTATTTTTTAACCTTAGGCCAGTCCTTCTGCAAAAATTTAAGAGATATGAGACAGATAAATAATGTCAACAAGGTTAAATCGAAACATGTCAGAGAAAGGACCTATGTGATTAGACAATGTAGTTATGTCACCAGAGAACATGGAAGAACTCAAAGTGAAAAGCCACGTTTTAATGATGAGACAAATGAGGTACAGAGAAGCCAAATAATCAGTTCTGAAACGTGCTGGTAGGAAAATCCAAATTTTCTGTATGTTCTCTCTCCTGCTGCACTGTGTTGACTTCAGTGGGTGGGAAATCGTGGCTGATCCTTGCAGAGTTATTGTCATGAAAACTTATCTTAGGAACTGATCTCTTTATTATCCAATAAATTTCTAACTGCAGGCAGGCAGTCCCTGCCCTTTGTTAATAACCTTCTCCCAATATTGATCATAATATGACTCTCCGTGAAGCAGATGCTACTTGCACACAAAATGGTGTTACAGGTAGGGGTTGCTACTAAGGATCAAACATTTTATATCCCTGGCACTAAGGATCAAACATTTTATATCAGCAGATACTAAGGATCAAGCATGTTATATCTCTGGCCAGGGAGGTGTCCCACATATGGCACAGCAGATCTATCCTGTCTTGCCTGCTGCTCCCCGCAACAGTGTGTTTCAGAAGAGCTGCCTGTTCTGCTCCCCACTCTGTCTCTGGTAAATTCTCTCACCCCAGCTCCCCGCACCTCTGGCCTACACCAGATCTTCTATGCATAAATAAAAAGATAATAAAATAAAACATCTATAAGGTCTTAATATTTACAATAATAAAACTACCTCAAATACTAAAACTGGATAAATTATATATTTTCCCCCAAGGATCATGAGTTCTATAAAAGTGTGTGTGTGTGTGTACAGTGGTGATACAACTTAACTGCCTCACAATTATGACTTAAACATGCAAGTTTTAACTACCATGACTAATGGTGTTAATAATAACTGCTTTTTAACTTTTCAAATTTACTTGAATACAATTTTTGAGCTGTTTAGGGGGACAGCTCTGTGAAATTTAACACATGGATAGATTTGTACAAGGACTACTACAATCACAATACATGCAGCTCCATCACCCTCAAAACACCTTCATGTTGCCCAGATTGGGTCAAACCCTCTCTTCAATTCAACCCCTGGCAGCCACTGATATATTCTCAGACTTGTAGCTTTGCCTTTTCCAGAATGTCTTGTAAATTAAATCATAAATTCTGTAACTTTTTTTTTCCTTTTTCAAGAACTGGGGTACAGGCCAGAGGCATGGGAGGTGAGAGGATCCACCAGAGACAGAGTGGGGAACAGAACAGGCAGACAGACTGAAATACACTGCTAAGGGGAGTAGCAGGCGAGCCAGGAGAGGTCTGCCTCGCCATGCAGGTAGTTCCCTGGCTGGGGATCGAACTTGCGCTGCAGTGGCTATGGATAGCCCCACAGCACAGTGCTCAACCCCCTGCACCACCAGGGAGGCCCTATGTAAATTTTTGACTTAATCTCTTAGCCGATGACTGAGATTCATCTACATTGTTGGGTATTTCAGTATTTACTATATCCATGGTGTTTTTTCCATTCACCTGTTGGACATTCGAGTTGATTTGGTAATTATGAATAGAACTGCTGTAAATATTTATGTATAGTTTTTTTGTATGAAGAACAGTTTAATACTCTAGGAGAATTACCTAGGAATATAATTTCTGGGTCATATGATAAAAGTATATTTCAAGAAGCAGAAGGATCCCCGAGGAGCCAGAGGTAAGCTGGGAGGCTTGCCCATGCTGGGCGCCTTCTAGCCTGCAGTTCCAGCCCAGAAGGGAGCGGCACCCACCGCTGGGGCAGACCGGGTGTGCAGGGGAGCACGTCCCCGGCACCGGCATTTTGCAGCAGGGACCTTTCTTGCTGGAGACTGTGTGAAACAAGCAGAAGGCTCACCGAGGAGCCAGAGGTGAGCTGGGAAGGTCACCCAAGATGCCGGCCAGTACCAGCAACACAGTGTCACAAGGAATACAGCAAATTAGAAAACAGGCAGTAGGGAGTAGAAAAACCACATGCAACCCAGCAACTCCTCAGCAAAAAAGCACACCGCAAAAAGAAAACCATCTACCAGATTGCAATGACAGTAACTTGGAAGAACTTCTGAGCCTTCCAGATAGAGAATTTAAAATTGCTGTGATTAAAAAACTGACAGAAGTCATAAAGGAAAACAATGATAAGGGAAAAATAATTAATGACCAGAAGAATGAAATTGAGTCCCTAAACAGGGAAGTAAAAGAAATGCAGGAGATCAAAGAATTAATGGAGGCGCTAAAGAACTCTGGAAAAAGCAATGAAAGCAGAATAGATGAAATGGAAGAATGAATAAGTACTCTTGAAGACACAGAAATAAAAAGAACTAAAACAGAAAAGGAAGGAGAAGTACGAAGGAAAAAAACCGAAGAAAGACTTCGGGAACTATCTGACTCCATGAGGAAAGGAAATATAAGAGTTATAGGAATCCCAGAAGGAGATGAGAGAGATGTAGGAACAGAGAAAATATTCAAGGATATAATTGAAGAGAACTTACCAAATGCGAAGAAGGAGCTGAAAATCGATATACAAGAAGCAAGAAGAACACCAAACTTCCATGACGAAAGGAAAAATACAGCAAGACACATAATAGTAAAGCTCCCAAGAATCCAAGACAAGGAAAAAATAATGAAACTGACAAGAGGGAAGAAACAGATAACATTAAAAGGGAAACCAATCAGACTGACATCAAACTTCTCCGAAGAAACACTAAGGGCAAGGAGAGAGTGGAGGGACATAGTCAACAGACTCCAAGAAAACAGATGCCAACCAAGAATACTCTATCCCGCAGAGCTCTCCTTCCTCTATGAAGAAAGAATAAGGACCTTCCCAGACAAACAGAAACTCTGGAATTTCATTACGACTAAACCCCCACTCCAAAAAATACTACAAGGAGTCCTAAAGCCAGAACCTCAGAGGGACGAATAACAACAAAAGAAGGCCAAAAAAAGTTATTAAAAGAATAAATAAATAAAATCGAAGGAAAGACAAACACAATGGCAAATACAGATGCTAACATATCAATACTAACTCTAAATGTAAATGGACTAAACTCTTCAATAAAAAGACACAGAGTTGCAGGCTGGATTAAGAAACAAAACCCAACCTTTTGCTGTCTCCAGGAAACACATTTAGCTGCAAAAGATAAAAATAGATTCAAAGTTAAAGGATGGAAAACAATTCTACAAGCAAATGGACCAAAAAAGAAGGCAAGAACAGCTATACTTATATCAGATAAAACAGATTTCAAACTTAAAAAGATAAAAAGAGACCCCAGTGGTCATTACATTATGATCAAAGGAACAATACTTCAAGAAGAAATAACAAACACTCATTAACATATATTCACCAAACGAAGGAGCACCAAAATATATCAGACAACTATTGGCATCTCTGAAAACAGACATCAGAGAAAACACATACGTAGTGGGAGACTTCAACACACCACTATCAACAATGGATAGATCAACAAGACAAAAAATAAGTAAAGACACTAAAGCTCTAAATAAGGATCTAGAGTGCTTGGGGTTAACAGACATATATAGAAAACTAAACCCACAAAAAATCTGAGTATACATTTTTCTCAAGTGCACACGGATCATTCTCCAGGATCGATCATATACTGGGGCACAAGACAAACATCAACAGATACATCAAGATTGAAATCATACCAACCATCTTTTCTGACCATGAAGGCATCAAAATAGAAATAAACCATAAAAAGAAGGCAAGGTACTCTCCTACCTCATGGAGATTGAAACCCACACTACTGGAAGTCCACTGGACTAACGAGGAGATAAAAGAAGAAATTTAAAAATTCTTTGAATTGAATGACAAGGAGGACACCAAATCCTAAATGTATGGGATGATGCAGCAAAAGCAGTAATAAGAGGAAAATAATATAGCAATAGATGCTCACATCAAGAAACAAGAAAGAAGTCAAAGAAACAACCTAATCTCGAAGCTCAAAGATCTAGAAAAAGAATAACAAAAAAACCCCAAAACCAGTAGAAGAAAAGAAATAATAAAAACCAAAGCAGAAATAAATGAAATTGAAACTAAAAAAACAATCCAAAACATCAATGAAACCAAGAGCTGGTTCTTTGAAAAAAATAAAAATAGATAAACCCCTAGCCAGGCTCACAAGGGCAAAAAGGGAGAAAGCACAAATAAACAGGATAATAAATGAAAGGAGAAATCACAACGGACACAGCAGAAATCAAAAAGAATAATTAATAACTACTATGAAAGTTATATGGAAACAAGTTCAACAATTTAGAGGAGATGGACAAATTCCTACAACTCTACAATCACCCAAAGCTAGATAAAGAAAAAATAGAACACCTAAACAGACCAATTACAATTAGCGAAATTGAAATGGTAATCAAAAACCTCCCCAAAAACAAAAGCCCAGGACCTGATGGATTTACAGATGAATTCTACCAAACATTCAGAGACGAATTGGTGCCTATCCTTCACAAACTCTTCCAAAAAATTGAGAAGGAAGGTATAATACCTAA